TCTATCCTAGAGCTTTGTTCTCTTAGGGAAGCAGAGACGGCAGACCTGCCTGCCCAGAGGACTCTATCCACGGTGTAATTGAAGTTCTACTGGCCCTACAAGGATTGCAGCCTCGGAGGCACTGGGTATTCCAGCACTGTGCACAGAATGGACACCCTCAAACAAAGAGGCCATACCATGGGTATAATCTATGGAAAGAGCTCAAAAGGGAAAAGTCAAATTTGTCTATTTTGGACACCTAAAGTTTAGCATGATGTTCACAATAATCAATTGCAAAAAAGCCCCCAAGGTCAGCCTGGAGAAATTCCTCCTAAGGGAAACTGGGATCATGATGATATGGAACCATCAGTGAAACCAAAAAAGTCTTTGAGGTATCACGCAAGGTCTACATCATGATGGAGCTCAAAGGCCAGGGTAATGTTCTTGAATTCATCAAAACCCAGGGAGTCCTGAAAGAGTTTTGCTTGCAAGAAGTTCTCTCAGCTCTTCTTGGCAGTCAAGTATTTCCTAACTTACATCAACCACAGACCTCAAGCTCAAGAACTTCCTCCTTGACAAAGATGTCAACATCAAGTTGTCTGGCTTTAGCTTCTCCAGGTGTTGTCTACAGGGTGGTAATGGCCAACTGACATTGACTAAGACCTGCTGGCATACTCAGTCCCGGAGGTGTTATACAGTACAACCTCCTTCAGCAAGACAAGGAGCACTGATGTCACTATCACTGTATACAGAACTAATCAAAATAAGAATATTTTGGACCAAACAGAAACTTACTGTTTTCAATTCTACATTTAAATCTGGTGATTTCACAAGACCAATCCGAAGATACTCTTTTCAATCATTTGCTTACATGTGGACACAGCCAATCAAAAGACACTACTCCTGATCCTTCTTTTATATGTAACAAAAAGCCAAATGAGTTTTTTGATGGGACAGTTCACAGCATGATGCTAAGTGAATGTTTCCTAGGAAATTTTCCCAATGCCTTAATTGCATAAAAGAAATAATTGAGGAATTTAAATATAAAAGATGTCTTTCCCTTTATCTTCTGGGCCACTGTGAGCCTTTCCACTGGTCTTTTCTCTCTCAGCAGAGCTTACTTTTTTCTACCTTCGATGAATACACTTTCGCTGCCTTTGCTGAGTCTTGTCTAATTCTTTGCTCAGGACACTGAGAACCTGAAAGAAGCTCATTGAGAGCCTCCATCCAATAACACTGGCTCTAGACATCTGACATCAAGAGCCAAGAGTCTGACCACGATCCTCTAAGAGATGATAGTCTGTGGCCCCATCCCCACGACAGCTCCAGCACAGTGAAAATGCTGCTCTCACAGAAGGAGCATTAAAACAACTTCCTGTGCTCCAATACCTGACCAATGAATGCCAGGACCTCATCTACCACATACTCTACCCAATGTCAACTGGTAGCTGCACATTGATGAGATTCTCAGTCACTACTGGGTGCAGCCCAAGGCACAAAGCCTATCTTTTGCAGCCATCAACAAGGACTGGAAGAACATCCCCAGGTCCAGCCTTCAGAGACCCTGGAACTTGGCTCTGAGGGGAAGTCTGCTACCAAGCTGGAGCCTGAGGAAGAGGCACAGCCTGAGACACAGACAGAGACAAAAACATCGAAAAGATAAGGTGGAAGTTGTCAGGCAGTCAGAAATCCTGAGCTTCAGCAGCAAGCAGCTGACCAGAAAAACAGAGGAGACCCCTCACCACCAGCAGCTGTCTGCAGAATGCACAGCTAATGAGTCAGGGAGACATCAGGGAATGAAGTAGAGCTCAAGTCTTGTAGCCTGAGCCTGAAAGAAGTCAAAGAACAATCCAAAGAAGAGAGACAGTCCCAGATTATTTTTGTTAGTTTCTTGTGCCTCCCTTTGAACTTCATAATGAACAAATAAATCACTGAATTCACCTCTCTGTCCAGCTGACTTCGGTCTTGGGCCCGCTCTGGCTCATACTGCTAAACAAGCATCTGTCAGTGCTGTATATGAGTGCAGACACCAAGATGATGAATGTTTTGCTCAGGTGACTGCAGTTCTGGTTTTCTCTGGCTTCTTACTCATGAGAAAACACATCCCGCGGGGCTCAGCCCAAACTGTTAGCGCAGGCTGACCCAATTGCACCAGTCAGAGCCTGGGACAGATGCTGGAGGAGACAAAGAGGGGCAGGGGTCTGAGCAGAGAGCTGAGTAATGAGGCAGACAGCAGAGTGAGGAAGATGTTGCTTGTAGAGGGTGATCCATCAGTGCCAAAAGGAACAGAGGAAAGACAGAGGCAGAGAAGGGAGACACAGAACAGTCGGGCTGTATTTGGACCTGAAGATCTCAAGCAGCAAAGTAATCATCAACCCTATCCACCTACACAAGGCTATTGGTGGGAGATTGCTGAGGGAAGGCCAAACAGCCTGTCGGTCCTCCTTGAGGTTCCGCGCCTGCTGGGTGACTTGCTTCCTTCCCTGCCCACCACCAGTTCCCTCATGACCAACAGGCACTTGATTCTCAACAGTGTCTGAAATCATCCCACCTGGGAAAAGCTCTGCTACATGGCCCACAATGTCTCATAATCCAACGTGGCCTTGACCACATCCCATTCTCCTCCAGTTCCTACTACAGTTAAAAAGCTGACCCTGGTGAGTAGGCAAGATGGGCAACTTCACAGCGTTTGCCTGGATACTGTGGGCAAAAAAGGCAGCCACTGGTATCCTGCAATGGGTGTGGCCTGCATTTGGCACCATTGGCTTCCCAGGTACCGCCTGCCCTGCCTATGCATGTCCAGGCAGTCCTTACCTTACCACAGTGACCCCTTTCTCTTCACCTTAGTCTGGACAGCCCCCAGGGGGTTTGAGGGTTTAATACACACAAAACAAAGCACTCAAACTCACCTTGTTTCCCAGCCTGTATCCGCCTTGGAAAGATGCCAACCCCAGAGCCTTGAGAGAAGCAGAGTCTTTCAAGCGCCTGGATTTGCCCTCCCGATAACCACCACCCACAGACAGTCCACCCGCCTGACCATACAACACCTTGCCCTTCTCCCTGCCTCCCACAGTCTCCTCCCACTGCCTCCTCCTAAACCCACTCCTGGTTTCCACCCCTGTAGGAAGGTTTCCAGTATCTGGAGGTCCTGCCAGGCCTGGCCTTTTCCTGTTGACTCATCCTTCCTCTGCTGGTCTCCCAGAGCTGTCCCTCAACCCAGGTTCTCGTCCACACATGTGCCAAAATCATATTGTGAACTTGCCTCTCAGACACTGTACTCTCCCCGGGTTTACAGAGTGGTGGTTGAAGCCACCCACTCTATTCCGAGAAGCTCTGCTTGTGCCAAGTTAATAACTGCCTCCTCTGGCATGTCCCCTAAGAACCAGAGAGACCACACTATACTGGGCAGTGGCAGGGCACGAGGGAGCAGAATGCACCACAGAGGAGGAAAGAGTTTTTGGAGTCAGCTGAGAAGGCTGACACTTAGAGGGGTGCATCAGATGGGGCACTGGGAGTGCAAGGGATGTGGGAGAGGACAGAGGTGTTATGCTCCTGGGCCCTGGCCACCAAATCTTAGCCTTTCCTGAGACACAAGGAGGGACGTTCTGGCCATTATGGAGAAAATAAACCCTGAGGAAAAGGAATGTATTGAGCTAAAGCCGTCAACCACCAGTACACTACACAGCTTACACGAGACCCGCAAGTCTGATGCTGCTAAAGGGTGGTCAGTATGGGCTCATCCATCCACTCTGACCATCCTGTCTCTCAGCCTGGTGGGCAAACTCTAGCTGCCAGACACAAGACACGTCCTACCTGTTCCAGGTGTGTTCACATCACTATGCCTCTGCCAAAGATGACACAGGGTCCTAGCATGCCATGTCCCTCTTGTGCTCTTGATGGAGCCCTGCTAATCCTCTACACTTGGACTTCTGCATCACGTACTCTCTGAAACTTACCAGCACCACCACTCATATAGAAACAGACATTCCTGCTCTCCCTCTGAGCGTGGCAACCCTAGTTCATCTATCTAGACATCTCTCTATGAGCAAAGGGTGTAAGTACCAATGACAAATGGAAATCAGGGCTTGCAAAGTACCTAGGAAGGGTACCATTTGCCAAAGCAAAAAATCCTCCTTTGCCCAGCCTCTTGGGACTTGCACCAAGGCACTTCCACAAGAAAGTGGACTTCCACAATCGCCTCAAGTCCCTCAAGGGACTTCTACAATCACCCCAATTATTCTCTTTCAGCAAGCTGTCATTTTAAAATGGGACTGGACTGTGCAATGGTTGCCTGTCATCTGGAGAAAAAACCCTCCTGATTTGTATTACTCAGAAGCTCTTTCCTGCCTAGGTGCCTCAATACCTGCTCCATCTGGCCAAAGCTCTGCCTATCCTGCATGCCATTGCTACCCCTTGAAATGTGCATCTGCCTACCCTAGGCCCTAGGCTGCTCAGCTGGGCACTTGGGGTATCCTCAGTACAGCTTGTTTTCCTATCCCTAAAAATGCTCCTGCTCACCAGAGCAATGGCATCTCATCTGCCTGGCTCTGTCTAGCTCAAGGAAAAGACATGGAGCTGCTTTCATTCACTGGGCTTAGAAACACTGCTGGCTCGGCTCGACCAGGGTAGATGCCACCAGCTTGAAAGAACCATCTCTGTAAGAGCTTTTCTTCATACTGTGAAGAAGCTGCAGAGAACTGACCCTTGTGGGACAAAGGCCAATGCAAAGTTAGTTCCCAAGGTCAGGTGAGGGAAACAGGCATGGAACTGACACTCTGGTGGGCCTAAGCCACCCACACCCAGGCCTCGCTTGTGCACGAAGCCGCAGTGAGAAAGGGGAGCAAGAAGCATTACCAGAGTCTTGGGTGCAGGCCTCCTTACAGCAGGCGAGGGAAAGGTTGCTCCTTTTAGCCCAGCTCTGGCTTCCAGAGTTCCAGGAACCCTGCACCCCCAATACCGTCCTCACTTCCGGCATCCTGGCTTTATGACTTCATTTGCTGAAGTCACCTGGGGACAATGCTAAGCATTCCGCTGCCCTAAGACCAGGCCCAGCGTGGCCAGAGAACCCCTCATAGTGGAAAAATGACACCTGCTGGCTGGCGTGGGGAGGGGGTGTAGAGGGCGGCGGCGCCAGCCGTTCCTGGCACTATGGACGATGCCGCAGTCCTAAAAAAGAAGGGTTACATTGCGGGAATCAACCTGGGCAAGGGTTCCTATGCAAAAGTCAAATCTGCCTACTCAGAGCGCCTCAAGTTCAATGTGGCGGTCAAGATTATCGACCGCAAGAAAACACCCACTGATTTTGTGGAGAGATTCCTTCCTCGGGAGATGGACATCTTAGCAACTGTCAACCACCGCTCCATCATCAAGACCTATGAGATTTTTGAGACTTCTGATGGACGGATTTACATTGTCATGGAGCTTGGCGTCCAGGGGGACCTCCTTGAATTCATAAAATGTCGAGGAGCCCTGCATGAGGATGTGGCACGTAAGATGTTCCGCCAGCTCGCCTCAGCTGTCAAGTACTGCCATGACTTAGACATTGTCCACAGAGACCTTAAGTGTGAGAACCTTCTCCTTGACAAGGACTTCAACATCAAGTTGTCTGACTTTGGATTCTCCAAGCGCTGTGTGCGGGATGCATGTGGGCGCATTATCCTCAGCAAGACCTTTTGTGGCTCAGCAGCATACGCAGCCCCTGAGGTGCTACAGGGCATCCCATACCAGCCCAAGGTGTATGACATCTGGAGCCTGGGTGTGATCCTCTACATCATGGTCTGCGGCTGCATGCCTTATGATGACTCCAACATCAAAAAGATGCTGCGCACCCAGAAGGAGCACCGGGTAGACTTTCCCCGCTCCAAGAACTTGTCCAGTGAGTGCAAGGACCTCATCTTTCGCATCCTGCAACCAGATGTCAACCGGCGGCTGCACATTGACGAGATCCTCAGTCATTCGTGGCTGCAGCTCCCCAAGCCCAAAGCCATGTCTTCTGCCTCACTCAAGAGGGATGGGGAGGGCAAGTATCGGGCTGAGTATAAATTAGACACCAGGCCAGGCTCAAGGCCCGAGTACAAAGCTGACCACAAGCTGGTAGCTGAAACCCAGCACCGGACCAAGAATGAAGACAGGATGGAGGATAGGCTGGCCGAGACCTCCAAAGGTAAAGAGCATCCCATCTCCTCCGGAGCTGAGGTGGAAAAGGCGAGCATCTAGTGATGGTGAGGGCCTTGGAGTGGGGAAGAACATGGCATGTAGTTTGCGCTCACATAAACAAAGTAGGCAGGTAGGAGCTGAAGAAGGCATAGGTGCCAGGAACAAGTAAAATCTGTCAATCCACTATTTTGACTATGTTCTTTTAGCTTTCTTTTATTTCATAGCAAAAGTCTTAATTACTGACCAACAAATAAACCATGAAGTGTACATAAGCATAGAGAACCCCAAGAGGGGTCTTCTTCTCTAGGATTCAGCTAAGGCAGGGCCTCCAATTTAGGAGTCCAAGACCCAGTGCTTAGGCACAGGCAGTCAGTAAGGCTTGTGGCAAGGAGAGGACCTTTGTCATCATCCATTTGCCAGGCCTACTCTTGTCCACCTCTGACCTGCCCGAGATCCCCAGGCCTCCTGGGCTGCGTGGCTCCACAACTTTTCCTAATCCCATGTGGTACCACACACACCCATTGCTCTCTCACACAGTCCTACCTCAGTGTTCTCATTCAACTTCCAGAGTCATTTGAGATTGGTGACCTTGGTGGCTAAACCTTTACCTTTACCTTTCCCAGGAATGGCCCAGCTGAGAACATTCACTAGCACCCACCCTGTGCTGTGGACTTGCAAATAGCCTTTGGTGATGGTGTGATCTAGTCTATCATGTTTCCTGTTTGGTCACCAACACTCCCCAAGGCATACTACTGGTTGCATTCCTGTGCCAGATGAAGTGCAGCTCCAGGTCAGTAAGAAGCTGGTGAGAGAGCTGCTCATAGGCCAGCAGTTCTGCATGGTTGTGTTCCCCACTCAGATAGACTCAGCAGATAATTTAAAAAAAAAAAACCAACAACATTCTTTATAGAATTAGGAGAAAAAAACAATCAAAAATGTTATAGAATCAGAAAAGACTCAGAATAGCCAAAGCAATTCTGAGCAAAAGGAGCAATACCAGAGACATCACAATACTGTGTTTCAGGTTATAGTACAAAGCTATAATAATAAAAGCAATACAGTTATTGGCACAAAAACAGACACACAGGCCAATAGAATACAAAAGAAGACATAAAAAATTCCAGGAATCTAGAAATATCTGATTTTTGACAAAGAAGCCAAAATCATGCTGGAGAAAAGACAGCCTTTTTAACAATGGTGCTGGGAAAACTGGATATCCATTTGTAGAAAATAAAAGACTGCCACCAGATGCAGCTGGACAATTGAAGTACATCAACTTACTTGCCACTGTAAAACCTGCCACTAGATGCAGATTAATCATCACTTGTCACTGACTGTAACAATTGATTTATTGTGATCTCTGTGCAGTCAACCCTCACTGTTAATGTAAATTTCTATTTGCTGCCACTCTCCAGTGCTAGCATCACTGCCTCAGACCCACTTCAGATCATTAAGCATTAGCTTCATTCAAGAAACATGCAATCTAGATCCTTCACAATTGCAGTTAACATTAGGTTCACACTCCTATGAGAATCTAATGTCGCCACTCATCTTACTAGAGTTCATGCAATAATGTGATCAATGGGGAGCGGCAGTAAAGACAAATGAAGCATTGTTCACATACTGACCACTCACTTCCTGCTGTGTGACCCAGTTCCTAACAAGTCATAGACTGACACTGGGGACCTCTGATCTAAAAACATATAAAATTACAACTCTGACTTAGTAGGTATCTTCTTCTTCACTGGAACAAAATATGTAACACTCATGACTTCAAGGAGGAAAGGTTTATTTAGGCTCATTGGATTTTAGCAGCTTCAATTCATAAGTCAGCTGGCTCTGGGAGAAACAGCATGGCAAAAGGGTTTGCCATATGGAGAAAGCTAATCATGTCATGGAGCCAGGAAACAAAGAAAAGGGAAAAATCAAGGACATCAAAATACCCTTCCAGGGGCCAGGGATTTAGCTCAGTGGCATACGCACCTGCCTGGCAAGCACAAGGTCATGTGTTTTTTCCCAGTACAAAAAAAAAATACCCTTCCAGATCATGATCCCAATGATCTGCCTCTAACTAATTACCTTTCAAACATATAAGGTTTTAGGGGACAGTTTAGATCCAAACTACAATAACAGGTAGTGATATAGGCACTATTATGAACGTGTAAAAAAAGATGTCCATCTCTATCCACTGACATCATTTTAGAAACCCCAGTAGCAATGGGCTCAGCCAAAACACAGATGTTGGTGTTCCAACACCACTGCCCCAAGGGAGCAGGCATCCTTGGAGAAAGAACTTCCGTGCTATATTAGTCACTTTCCCATCGCTGGGACAAAATACCTAACATTTGTCACTTAAAAGAACAAGTTTATTTTGACTCACATTTTCAGAGGAATCAGTCCGTGGTGGTTGGTTTGAAGGCAGAAATGGTATGGCAGAAGGGGATAGCAGGAGAAAGCTGCTCAACTCACTGTAGCTAGGAAGCAGAGAGAGAAAGGAGGAGCAAGGGACAAGAAGACACACTTCTAGGTCAGTCCCCACTAACTGACCAACCAGCCCCCGAACCCTGATGGTGACTTCAGCTATAAACTCATCATTGAATTAATCCACTGATAAAAATAGAATGTCATGATTCAATCACCTTCCATCATTTATGAGACTTCGAGGGGACAGTTTAGATCTCAACCATAACAGGCAGGAAAAGTACAAGATGAACTTGAGGGATAAGGAAAAATAGGAAAACTCTTCATAAAAGAAAACCACTTATTAAATATAGTGACAAGTACAGAAATTGCCATGTTTTCTGTACCACAGACTGAACCCAAAGCCTTCACACTGACCTAGATCCTCAGCCTGCTCTCCTTCCCCACTCCCCTCTTTTTTCTGAGATTAAATCTCTCAAATTGCTAAATTGCCCAAGATGGGCTTGAATTTATGATCCTCCTGATTCAGCCTCCCCGAGTGCTGGGATTATAAGCATGTGCCACCATGGCTAGCTCCAAAAATTGCTATTTTTAAGCTGTCTATCACTTATAATTAATTCAGAAAAAAATCATCAATAGATGGGAAAACAACTGGGTCAAAAAGTTCTGGAGAACACCTTGAACATCATTCTACAGATTAATTTATTCAATGCTTATTCAAAATCACATTTCACTACAAAGGAGAAAGTATTCACAATAGTGACATCTAGCCAATATTATCTTATCAAACTGATCAAATTCAACATCACCAGTAACAGAATTGACTCCTATGCCTCCTGATGTGACCTACATAGTATTCCTATTATTTTTTTTAAAAGTCTCAGTAGAAGCTAATCATAAGAAAGCTGAGTGTGGTGGTGCACACCTGTAACACCAGCACTAAGGAAACTGATTCAGGATTGCTGTGAGTTTGAAGCCAGCCTGGGCTACAAAGTGAGTTTAAGCCCAACCTGAACTGCATAGTGAAACCCTGTCTCAAAAAGATGAAGAAGCAGAAGCAGAAGCAGAAGAAGATGTGGAGAGGAGACAGGAGGAGGAAAAAGAGGAGGAGGAAGAGAAGGGGAAGGGAAAGGAGGAGAAGCAGAAGCGGAAGAAGAGAGGGAGAGGGAGAGCGAGAAGAAAAGGAGCTAATCGCAGGTCCAGGGCTTTGGCCACAAGCAGACATTAGGGAAGAGGCAGATGTTCCATGCAAATGACAAAGGCACAGAGCCAAATGCAGCTGCGTGTCCAGGTTGGGAGCCCGGCTAGAGCATCACAGATAGGTGCTCACCTCTGAGCTCCCACATTCAGCCTTGATATTGCCGACAGATGTCTCTGCGCACTTCTGCCGTTATGGCACTTGCACTTCAATGTATTCAGAATCCTAGTTTCTACTGCATTGGTATAAATGGAATTATACTAATGCATGTACATTAAGACATTTTAATATAAAAAGGGTTTTCCTTGGTAATTGTAAACCATTTTTTGCCAGACCCTAAAAGTATGGTGGTGGCCCTTTATCTATGTCTAATGGATAAGTCAACCCTGATGTTAGTATAAGTTCTCGGTGCAATTCAGGGGAAGCCAAAATAGGTACAAAGGGTCATCTGGTTGTCACGGTTCTGATACCCCATCACAGATGTAAACACGCAACCTCCACAGAGTGTTCCAAAAGCATTTAATCTCATCACAACGTTGGGATGCCCCTAAATGTCCAGCACCGCTGCAGTGTTTCTACGGCCTGCACAGGGTGCTTGGCGAATTCCTACTAACTCCTCTGGGGGCGGGCTCTGAACTAAGGCCCTCTGCTGGGCAGCCCCTCAGTGAATGACACTGCTGCCCAGGGCCACAAGGCTGGCACAAGGCTGGCACGAGGCTGCAGTCAGGCGACGCCTGTGAAAACAGGTGCCTCCATGAGCTGCTGCAGGTCCGAAGCCCTCCAGCCCGACCCGGTCCAGCGGCCACGCGGGAGGCGCTGCAGGCCAGGCGCGACGCTTCGGCCAACAGCTCAGCCCCGCCCTGAGTCGCCCCACCCCGCCCCGGCCTGACCCCGCCGCCACGGCGCCCCTCCACGCCGCGCCTCCGGCCGCAGGGACCCTGAGCACAGCGCCGCCGTCAGCCTCGGTCACGTTTATGGTCCGTTCACCGTCCCAGCGGAGGCCGGTCGCAGTGCGGTGGCCCTGGGAGGAGACCTGACTGAGACCGGCTCAGGGCCGCTGGGTCGGACTCACAGGCTCCAGCGGGTCGGGGAAGAGTGCGGACCGTCGCCGAGCAGGACCGCGGGCCAGGACAAAGCTCCGAGACGCGGGGCCCACGGCCGCCATCTGCAGGGCCCCCAAATGGGCGGAGCCTCAGGTCTGGGAGCTGGGGCTGAGGGGCGGGCCCGACTGAGGGGGCGGGGCGATACACGATGAGGCCTGCCATTGGCTAAGCAGGGGGTGTGTCAGGGGCGGAGCCTGAGCCAGGGTTCCTAAGGGTTCCTCTTCCCCCAAAAGGCTACTGGAGTGGGCGGGCTTGTGGGAGGAATAGAGAGGGGCCACGGGGAGCCTAGGGGGTGAAACAGGACCCTGAGATTCCAAGGGTCTTCACACCTACAGGCCCAGATCTGCTACTGTGTCCAACAGTGTATTACATTCCACGGTTGGGTCCCCCGCCCCAAACAGAATAGAAAAAAACTACCCATGTTTCACATTTTGTTCACAGGAAAGTGCCTCACACCCCAGGTTTCTGGTATAGGGAACCCACAGGAGATGCTTGCTCGATGCCCAAAAACCGCCGATAACATCCTGTACCCACTCTGACCCTTTCTCTCCTGGAAAGCCCCCAAATGTTTACCTCTCTCAGCAACATCTCCCTCTCAACAAAACCTTCCACGTCCCCTAGCTAAACTCACCTGTAAAACATGCCCTCTCCCTTCACTCGCGGCCAGCGGTCTTTTAGCTCTTGGCCCGACTGCACACGTCTGCAATAAAGTTACTGCTGTTTGCTTCAACCTCGCCGGCTTCGGGTGGCTCGATGGCACCTTGGTTTACCTATCACAATGCACACCAAAATGTTTTGGTTTTTCTCTTTCTCTCATTTTTTGTTTCATTTTGATATTTTGGTTTGGTTTGGTTTGGTTTGGTTTGGTTTGGTTTGGTTAACAGGACCTCGCTATCGGCTTTGACCCCATTGTGTTGCCCAGGCTGGCCTGGAACACGCAATCATCCAGCTTCAGCATCCAAGTGCAGATGTGCACCCTCACACCCAGCAAAGGTGGTTTTTAAAAGGCCAAACCACTGTGAATGAAAGAAGAAGAAAACTGGAAGGCCAGAGACAATCAGAATGAAAAAAGAGAGTCTATTCTATAAGGAAAAGAGCAGGTATGACTTCATCAACACACAAAGCTGAGAAAGTTTCAACAGATGAAGAAATAGCATAATGGAGTAGGGCCACAGGGAGTAAGTGGAAGCCCAGATCTCAGAGACTGGAGCAGCTGGGCTCTGGAGAAAGCACCTGCTTGCATATTGGAGAAGGATGAGAAGCCACATCTGCACAGTAGAAAGCACTGGACAGACATGTGGCTAAGTTGTCTGGGAAGAAAGCTCCAAGTGCAGATCTTGCATCATGAACAGGGAGGAAACAGACGAGGTGATTTTAGCAGGAGTAAGATACAAGCTGTCCAGGAAAAGGATCACCAGCAATATGCACAAATCTAGCAGGGCTAGTTATGGCTGGGATATGAGGTGAAGATGAAACCAGAATTAGTGGGGACTCAGCCCAGCCTGCCCTACCTCCATTCCCCCCAATTCATTCCTAAATGTCCCCTTGAGGGTCCCAGAACTCCAGTGTGTAACACTAGGAGTGTTAACGTGGCCTCAAGTGTGAGAGGACAGCTCACTGTATTGGCAGATATAGTCCAAGTCAAACCCGAGTTTAAGCCAGAACTTCAGGAGCTCCTGCTCCCCCAAGATGTGGCCTAGATCAGGTGCTGCACAAAGGTGTCACCCCAGGGGCTGGGGATTTAGCTCAGCAGCATAAGTACCTGCCTTGCAAGCAGGCGGTCATGAGTTCAATCCCTGGTACCAATTTAAAAAAAAGGTGTCACCACAGAGGAATCTTAACTGCCAGCAAGAAAAAAAGGTCCCTGTTCAGTTATGCCCTAGCTGATTGTGTGCTCCTTGCAGAGCATTCCACAGAGCAGCTGCCAGTGCTCAGCATGGGATCTAGACACAGCCTTTTGTCCTCCCAGTCCCACTCTGCCCTGAGAGTACAGTTGGCCTATGGGCTAGGAAGGTTTCTTGGAAAGAACTCCTAGCCAGGAGCAGAATTTCTACCATCCATCCCCCTGCAGAACCACTCTAAGAGACAGACCAGGAAATGTTCAGTTGGAGAGAGAAAAGTATAAGGAAATGAAAAGCCCAGCCTAACTATGCAGCAGGAGGGCAGAATCCGGGCTCCCCAAGCTACAGTGATAGTTGCTCTGGGAGTCTTTGCCTCTCTTCACTCACCCACACCCTTCTCCTCTCTGCTGTGAGTCCCTGCAGACTCTCCACATGGACAGCATCAACAGCTAACAGGAGAGAAAAAAAAAATAAGGACAAATTTCCTCCTGGTGGGGTCACTGTAGCTCATTTCCCTCCCTCCACCCATGGTCACTATCTCCTTTGTGGTGGTCCTTTCTTTACTATTCTTATGCCCTGGAGCGCTTCTCCTTTGTGACTTCACCCACTAAAGGTGCCCAGAAGACAATACTCAATGTTCTATCCTAGAGTCTTAGCCTCTTAGGAAGCAAGGACAGCAGGCCTGGCCAGGCCAGAGGACTCTCTGTCCACAGTGTAACTGAGGTCGCTGCTGCCCAGTATCCCACAAAGATACAGAAAGCAGTCTCAGAGGCACTGGGCACTCCTAGTACCATGAATGATACTGTCATCCTCAAGCAATGAGGCTACATTTGGGAGAGGGGCTATACACAAAAATCAGATCAGCACACTCTAGACACAATGTGGCATTCATGACCATCAATTACAAAAAAGCCCAATGACTTCCGGGAGAAATTACTTTTCTAGGTAATTATGATTATGGCCATGTGAAACCCTTGCAACAGGTTGATGCTCTAAAGACTTCCATCAACTCTCCTTTCTGTCAGATATTGCCACAATCTAGATATTGTCCATAGAGACATCAAATGTGAGAATATTTGTTGGGAGCCGCGTCTGTGATAGCTCGCCTTGCGCGGCGGACGTGCGGCCTGTGGTAAAGAGCAAAGCCTGAGGTAGATTACCCCTCCCATCGAATATGTTAGTTTCTTGCTTACCGCGTAAACAACCCGCTCAACAATATAGTCTGTCTGGCAACTGATGATGTTAGCCAATCAGCTTGCCTTGCTTACTTTAACATGATTGGACACTGTACCCGTATATATACCGGTGCCACCCCTGGGCGGAAGAAGAAGCCAGGTAGAAGCCCAGAAGTAAAAGCCCAAAAAGAGCCGCGGGGAGCGGACCAGAGGAGGCTTCAGCTGGGAGAACCCAGGGCAGGCTGTACGAAAAAGGAAAATAAAAAAAAAAGGTTGTCCACTACCAGACTTTGTCGTGTGTCCTTCCTGCCGGCCGGGAGCGGACATCGACAAATATTCTCCTTGACAAAGACATCAACATCAAGATGTCTGACTTCAGCTTCTTCAAGTGCTGCCTGCAGGACAGGAGTGGCCAACTGATACTAAATAATCCAACCAGTTCTCAGAAGTACCTTGAATTACCTCACTTTGTGGCCATTCTGCAGCCCAGTAGAAGTGAGAGCACCACTGATGGCCTGGAATGTTCCACAATCCTGTGTGGCTTTGACTATATCCCATTCTCCTGCAGTCCTAGCCTGTGTCAAGGGATGACATCCCTGCTGGAGCTGAAAGACTGGACTACCGAGTAGGATAGGCATATTCACAAAGCGTGCCTGCATCCTGTGATCCTCTGGCGTCCTGTGGTGGAGGTGGCCTCCACTTGACATCACCAGCTGCCCCACCACCACCACACCTTGCCGCGTTGGCCCCTTTCTCTTCACTTCACTTTGGACAATCTTATGGGAACCTAGGTTTTAACACAGGAAAAACAAAAGCATTTCAGCTCATTTATTCCCCCCATAAGCTGTGCCTCCACCTTGAGAAGATCTCAATCCCAAGACCCCTGGGAGAAATGGGGTATACTCAGACCCTAGAATTGCCCTTCTAGCACTCCTGCCCACATCCGTCCACTTCTCTCACCACACAGCCCCTTGCCCTTCCCATTGTCTCTCACATCTATAATCAGCTTAAATCTTATTCCCAGAGAAAGTCCTCAGTGCCTTGTCTCTGAAGCCCTCTGTTATGGTTTATATAAAGTCACATGCAATCATAGACAGGACTTGTAGAAGATGATTGAATTACAGGGGAATTCACTTGTAGTTAAGAGGTAGGTCAGTGGGGGCAAAACCTGAAAGAGTTTATCTCCTTCTCCTCCTCCTTCTCCTTCTCTTTATTTTGCACTCTCTGCTTCCTGGAGGCCATGCTGTGAGCATTATTCTTCTACCATATTCCTGTGCCATGCCATCCTACTTTGGAGTCAGCCACCCATAGACTGAAACCTCTAAACTGTGAGCCGTATACCCTAAAGTGGTATGTGTCAAGTATTGTATCTAAGCTATTAGGAAAGTAACGGAGACACTTTTCTAGGCCTGGCCTTCCCCTGTTGACCTGTCCTTCTGCTGACCTCCCAGAACTGTCCCACTCATACCTCCATTGTTGGGGACCACTAATTCACAATGGCTAACTTTGCATACTTCCCTAAGGGATGATAAAATGGAGGCTTAGGATTATCAGTACCTCCTGTTTGAGATTTTTCATTGACACTTCTTAGCATATGACCATCTATATCCTCTGAGTCTTCTGTCAAATTGTAATCCTTTTCTAGCCCCATTTATCACTGTGTACACCTAATAAATAGTGGCTGCTTTGGGAGTGGAGGAGGACCCATTCAGAGACATTGACTTCCCAGCCGTTGATGTATTACTATACTAGTCTCTGTCTTTTATTTTTCCACCGTACTCTTAAGACAGACAATCAGGACACTCGGCTGGACTCTCAATACTCCGTAATACACATTTGCCATAATCACACCTGTGGTCTTGGCCCTGAAGACTCTGCCCGCATTCTCAGGCTCACCCAATGGGCCTTGGCATGAGCAGAGCTCTCTGGGGGTCCCAAACATTGCAGTCTGATGCTGTGAACTCTGATGCCAGTGAGTGTTCAAGGTCTAGGCACAGAAGAGGTCCTGACACAAGCCCCTTATCTTTCCCATGAAGGAACTGGTGGTAGAGTAGAATCCCGTAGCACAGAGGGCTGGCTGGACAGATGGGAAAATACCTCAGTGAAAAGCCTGAAAGAACAACACCCAGGGCAGCAGGCCCAGGTCACTGAAGCCCACTTTTCCACAGATAGCCCCATCTTGTTAGACAACCCTGGTTCAGTCATCTTCAGTGACCCTTCAGAGGCTTCAGACCATGGGCTCAAGGTGCTCCCCATGGTCTATTCATGTACCCATCAAGCCATGATCCTCAGACCATCATGGTACTACCCATTTTTATCCTCCATAGGGCTGGTTCCTCAGACCTCAGCTTTACCCAGCTTCCCTTGAGTCAGTCCCCCTGTCCTTACAGCTCCATGATCCTGGGTCTTTGCACAGCCCCCATGGTGTACTCACACTGATTGCTGTGACATTGAGCCATTGTGCTCCAGTAAGGCATGGTACTGTGAACACTAGCTCATCAGTGATCCCCAGCCCCTAGAACAGATCCTTGAATGCTTGTAGAATGGATGGGTCAGTGGTATCTACTTTCAGGAGGAAAACCAAGCACAGAGGGCAGCAAATTTCCCAGAATCAGTAGGGCCTGGGCCCATAGGACCCTGGGAGGAACCCTGGAGGACCTCATTCTATCTAACCTCTACCCTTGAACATAGCAGGTGTCCCAGTGCTGTGTGCT